AGGCAACATTTTGCTGCCCTTTAATTAAAGCCTTAGGTAGGGAGAATTGGGGCAACTGCCCTAAGGCCCCACATCTTAACATCACGGTGTTTTAGATGTAATCATTTGCATGCGTCCCTCAGATTGTTCTCTCCCAGCAACTCTGCCGAATTGTTAAAATGCAATTATCTATTTGCAGTATATGCACACAGAGCCAGCTGCTGTGTGGGTGGACCACAGCTGGCTGGCTAAAAGTGGTATGAGCTGTGAAGCCTCTCACACAACAGAGGCGGGGCGGGAGATGTGGCATCATTGTCCGGCATCAGGGGACAGTGGAACTTGCCTCCTTTACTGGATCCACAAGAGGGTGGGGCCCTTTCTGGTTTGACTTGTCCCAGGTCCAGCACCCTTCTATTCCCTACCTTTTTTTGTTGTTGTTGTTCAGTCGCACAGTCAAGTCCCGACTCTTCGCGACCCCATGGACCACATCACGCCAGGCCCTCCTGTCTTCCGTCGTGCTTCAGAGTTTGCTTAATTTCACGTTTGTTGCATTGATAACACTGTCTAACCATCCCCTTGGCCCTCTTCCTGGGATCATAAGATCAATCTAGCCATGACAGAGTTCACAAAAAATTCTTTTTCACTGTATTTTTCATATTGAATAGCAGTCACAGAGTGGCCTTGATACATTTTGGGAGGGTGTAGACCATATAGCTGATCTTCTCTTTCTCCTGTCTAGTCAAACGAGCACAACAAATATCAGCTATAGGGAACGGATTGAGATTGCAACAAATGGCACTGGGAAGTGGGGGAGGAGAAAAGTTATAGAGTATTAGAGATCACCTCGTCCAACCACCTGCTCAGTCTTACATTTATTGCTGTTGAAATTAATTTTGGAGGTCTTTGCCCAGTCTTCCAACTTGTCGAGATCACTTAGACTCGTAGCTCGGATGCCTTTGTTGTTATCTGTTCTTCCCAGCTTCATGTCAGCATCCCCTCTATCCCCTCATCCAAGGCCTTTATAAAAATATTGAAATCCTCAGAGCATAGGACAAAGCTTCATGGCATAACACTCAAGACCTCAATCCATGCTGGCTCGAAGCCATTAACAGGCACTCATAGGAAACAGTTGTTCACCCTGCTATGAATCCATTTAAGTGGTATTTCCCAGCCTATAGTTAACCATTTTGTCCATTAAGATATCATAGGAGATTTTGTCAAGCACTTTGCTGAAATCAAACTGTATTATGTCCATGGCATTCCCCAACTAGCTACTTTATCAAAAATGAAGATAAAGTCAGTCTGGCATGACTTAACTCCTGATAAATCATTGCTGGCTCCTAAAGAACAGCACATTCTTTGCTAGATTCCCACCAATTGGCTGCTTAATAAATTTGCTCAAGAATTTTACCAGGTATCAACATCAAGCTGACTGATCTGTAATTTCCTTTGTTCCCTTTAGTCAAGGTCTCAACAGCCATTGCCGGTTTTCTGACATCTCTCCCATTCTCCAGGAATTCTCAAAGATTAGAACCAGCTCTGCTGCAATAACATCTGCAAGCTCCTTCAGTACCGTGGGATTTAATTGATCTGGCCCTGGAGACTTGAACTCATTTAAATCAGCTAGATGTTTTCTAACTTTCTCCTTACCGATATTGCATTGCAAGCTGCTCCTCATATGGTTTTGTTTTGCTTTACCCAGGTTGGACACAGTTCTCTTTGTGGGAAAAGAAAGAGGCCAAATAGGGAATTAAGTAGTTCTGTCTTGTTTCTATCCCCTATCAAGATTTTAGCATCTTTCCCAGACTGTGAGCCTCTTCTTGCTCTGAACACAGCCAAAGAAGTAGATTCAGGCTACTCTTCTGTTTTTCCCTAGTTTTATGTTCTGTCTCATGTATTTTCCTTTTAAGTCTCATTTTGGTACAGAGAGTTCATGATGCATTTTTAGTTGTCTCACATTTTTCTTTCTCTTCGGAATAGCTTGCAGATGCTCCTTCAGTACTTTCATCTTCAGAATCTTCTCCTGGAGCTCTTTTCTCCCTCAGGGTTTCAAGCCACAGGATCTTATCCAGCTTTGTTTTCTCAGCTCATTGAAATCAGCTTTCTTAAAGTCCATGGTGTGCACCTGACTATGCTCAGTATGCATGGATCCAAATTCCAAGATGACCTGGTCAAGTTCCTTCAAGGCCCCTGCCACTTTCATTTCATCCATCGGTTCTTCCCTATCGGTCAGCATTAAGTCCAGGAAAACAGATTCCACCACCCCACCCCACCCCGCTCCTTTCTCCACCACAAGGCAGGTCAACAATTTATTTGACACCCGATCCTAATAGAAGGCAGGATAGTTGAAGTCTCCCCATTATCCCAGCCCTTCCTTTTATCATCAAGCTCTTAAAGTTGCTTGGGCTGTGTCTGTAGCAGAAGGCCACAATTATATCGTTTCTGGTGCTCTGCTTTGCTGTCCTTACCCAGATGCTTTCAATGGATTTCCATTCAGGTGTATATGCTGTTTACATGTTAATGCTGCTCCTCCTCCCTTTCTGCTGGTTCTCTTCTGTTGGCTGTTTATTTTGAACAGAATATACCCTCCAGTTCCTGGATTCCAGTAATGAGTTTCATTCCACCAAATCTCAGTGATACCCATCACCTCATACTTACCTTCCAAGTTTTCAGGTTTTGAGTTCACCCTATTTGTTTCCCATACTCTATGCATTTGTAAATAGACATGGGAGACCATTAGCTTTACACACTGTCAGTTTTCATATCATTTTTTCCTGAAGATTGTCTGGCACCTCCCTCAGCATCCTTCTTCCTCTTTTGTCACACATGTTCCTGTTCCTAGTACTTGGCTTACTGCTTTTCTTTGGGCCTTTCCCTCCCTCCTCTGAAGAAGTTCGCTTAAAACCATGCTGATCAGGCTTGCAAGACTCTTGGCAAACATGTCCTTCCTAGTCGTTGTGAGGTGCAAATAGTCTCTCATTCTGAATTAATTTCTAGTCCTCCTGCAGTACTGCCCTCATCTGAAGTGGGGGGGGGAGGGCCTGCAACTACAGTTCAACTTAAAAACAGCATGAAATCTCTTATTTGGGTACTTAGAATTTGTCCCTTTAGTGCCCCTTGTGTGGCTCACACTTGTAAAATGTTCTTCATATTAGCAAGGCTTGAAGAAATGTGAAGATTCTCTGGATGGCCAGCTATTATCAAGGGTTAACCATATTAACACATCTAAATTTTG